TATTCTTGTTATACCGACCGATCGGCAGCTAATTGATATCAAACTTTTCTTATAAAATCTCTCTGAGGTCGGGAGACTGATAATAGACTTTTACAGAGCTATAAAGGTACTTACTTGGCACGTTAGTAATCCGTGCCACCGTATAGCCCAGATGTGTATTTGTGCAACTCTACACTGCTTAATGAAGTAGAATACACCTACGTTCCTTCACGGTTAATCAGTCCTAATGCTCTCCTTCAGAAGTAGTGGATCTGCGATGCTTTCAACGTTTTTTTTCTTTGATTTTTTAAAGTGTTTTAGGAATTCTTAGAGTGAGTATCTTAAACGTACTGTATAGAATTCAAAAACTAGTAGCTCACGTTTTATAACATCACTGGAGATAGAAGCTTCTACACATAGAACTTTGTCACGTCTCCTACCATTTCGCTTCTGTAAAGATGATTTGACAAGTAGCATTCTGCACTTCTTCAAAAATAGAATCAACCAAAAAATCCGTATTTGGATGTAATTTTTTTTCGATAGACGGGCAATTTTGTCCGACCATTTTAGAGGAGGGGTAGCAGAGTGGTAGTGATGCTGATGATCACTAGCGCCAAGTCTGCTTGATTCTGCCCTTGGCTCATCTAGCCTCTCATTCCTCCGTTACCGGTAATTGCTATGGGACTCACTTTCTGCAGTCCAAATGGGATGCTCTATCTCGGATATCTTAGTACTCCATGGAGAATCGACTTGCCCAAACATTCGGCGACATTTGTAATGGAAGGAAAATCCTCAATCAGCAGCCGAAGTCACGCGCGAGAATTGAAAGACCTACCTGGATGATGGATTCGAGAAGTGCTGAGAACCTGAAGGCAGATGTAAAAGAAGGGTCGTTCAAGAAAAACCGTATCCAATCGTTGATATTTGTAGATCAGGGGTAGCTAGTGGAATTATTGGGTGGCTTTTCTAAGGCGGCTATATATTAAAGTGCGTAATCTACACGAAAATCGGACTGTAGTTGCAGCGACTTTTCCATCTAGTCTTTTCAAGCGCAGGCGAGATAACCGTGTACAAACTCTTGCCTTTAATCTGATACACTCTCATTCCAAAGGTGCAGTGCTATATAGAATGGGAGGAGTGCTTTTGATTTTTGGCGTTTAACTCGAAGAAACACACTTTTGGTGTTGTTTATTTTTGGAACCGTGTCTCTATTTACTAACTTGATCGTAACTTGGACTTCGGAGGAAAGAATCAGAGCTTTTCTTACTCCAGTGCGATTTCGTACTGTGGAATGAGGTTTTGGAAAGGATGAGAACAACTTTAGTAAATAAAGAACCTGTAAGAATTCTATTTTCGATTAAAAGGAGTGATAGTGATTCTTACTTTCGTTAAGCCTTGACAGCAATTCCTCTAGCGGTTTCCTTTTAAACTGCATCCAACTGCACTTTTCCTCCCTACCTGCATAACATCTACGCTTGCAAAGTAGTTCTTTTCGCAGCCTTCCGTCAAGGTTCATTCGATTCACTCTATTATGTAAGAAGAGAAATTCTTCCAGATTGTCCCCATCATCTATGACCTACAAATACATTTTCCGTTTGGGGCGATGACAGTATTTTTTCATTATGTAAATCAAGGAGAAAAATTTTGCCCAATTTTGAAAGCGACTGAAGACGAAAAATTTGTGAAAGCACTCAATCGTATTGACCATGACGTTGAAATATTCTATGACCGAATTTTTCATATTTTTTTATTTTTTTTTATTTCATATTTTTTTTCATATTTTATTTCATATTTTATGTCATATTTTTTTTTGACGATGGTGTAATTTCCTTTCCAATGTGTGGTTAAATAGAATCGCAGCTAAGCAAAATGCGACAGTGCATTGATTTTAACGATGTATCTTTCTCCACGGTAAGAAACAGTCTCGTGAAGTGCAAAAGGACACTTGTGTATGGTTGGTTTCAATAACGCTCCAGGCAACGCGTCAGATTTTTTGCCTCATACATACATTGGATAAAATATCAACTAGTAAATAAGTTTGTACAGGTACGTGTTACAGCAGCATAATGAAAAATGACCCTTTTCTCAAAACGATGCCATCGTGAAGAGGAGAAAAATCATGCTACGTGATGCTTATGAAAAATGACTGTTTGTTCTGTATTTGTGGTTACGACTGCTATCTGGGCGAATAGGGTCAGTATATCACCCGCGTCGGAATTCCTCTGAGTATATTACAAAGAAATAACGTTTGGATGGGCTTGAAATGGCACGTATTATTGAGTGAAATTCGTGCAACCGTCGAATTGTGCTGACGCCTGCCAGAAGTCAACCTCTTCTTTCGGTATCTGAAAATGGACAAGAAGTGGAGGTAAAAAATAAGAAGTTATAAGATTTCTCATTCAGCCTGCACATCACCTTTAAGTTCTATTCAGTAAAGTAGTCGAATCGAAAAGAATTATTATAGAGATACTTGTGGCATCTTTGTTGGAATATACATTGTGCTGATCCCCGTCCTTTTTGCATTTGACTTGCTTCCTTGCATCCATATTTGACGAATTCCTTACAATTTTGCTCCTGGGTTCAGCTGGTGTTTTAGGATTTTTGGCCTTCTTTATGAATGTCAGTGAAGGTTGGTCGAGACGTTTGAATCCTAGAATTACCGTGCTTTCGCACATCTTCAACACATTCACTCGCCAGCCTTTGTTAATCGCAGAGAGCAAGCTAATTCGTCTCGGAAGGATAAGGGGTCCGTTTGCCCAAGGCAGAGGTAAGGTGGAATCACGCGTTTGCGCATAACGAACAACAGTACTCCCACAGAGCTGCCAACACCTTTGTTAAAAATGCTCTTGAAAAAAGCCCGTCATTGGTGTGCGCGCTCGGGGCTTTTTTTCTAGTGGGAGAGTTTGTAGTGCAGGTTTCTTTATTTTGTAAATGGAAAGATGGTTATTATAGGTGTTAACAAGGCTCGTGTGCGACTGAGTGCCATAGGCTTAGTGTCAAATACGACGGACTTCCTGTGGTGTTTTCACTGCCAAATTGGCTACTGCCGAATTAAATGGCTTCAGCGAATTTCGTTTCACATATATTTCGTGCCTTAAACTAAACCTGAATTTATAAATGAAGTTGAATGACTTTGGCAGAACTAGTCTAAAGTAGCAAGCATATTTGGCAGCGAAAGGAAATTAAGAGAACTTTCATAATTTCCTTTAAGCATTACTTCTACTAGTGATTACCTCACTTTTATTGATATCATTTCCTAGTTTATCACTTGAACCACTATGAGATATTTACGAAACCTGTGTCTGCTTTTTTCATTCTTTGCCAGTGGATTAAAGCCGAGTCGGTCATGCAGGTCTTGGTCCAGATGGTCGTTGGTGAAATTCTTCGGTCTCGTTCATCCACGGCTAGCCTTGGCCCCCGCTGTTGGAATTGCGGAAGAATGAGGTCAGTTGTGGGCGTTGAACACATTTACTCCGAATGACACCAGATCAAAAGCGTTTTTGTTGCATTTGATTCATCGAAGAACTCAGATTATCTCCATGGGGGCGGAGCCTGTTTATGTGTTGTTCTTTCCAGTTTTTTTCTTCGGATGAGATTCTTAATTTCGTCATCCATTCATTGTTTTTTTGCCGTTTTTCTGCTCCCTCTATTTTTCACTAAGGATATTTGTAGACCTTTTCCAACTCTTCTATGCCGTGTTTCACTGACGTATTTTCCATAATATTTTCCATAAGTCTGAAGGATCGTTTGAGATTGAGAACAATTGTGTTCATTATGGTTTGTCTTGCTAAGAAGCGATATAAGTAGCCGTCGCTTTTTTCTTATAATAAATCCTTGCCACTGCTGAATCCGAGTCTCTTCGGTCTCTGTTGGACGATAATGCACTCTTCAAGACCGACATAAAGGAAAAGAATAAAGCATTAGGCGCTGACAAATCTCCTAGAGATGCGCCATGCCTTCAATTCTATTTGTAGAACAGCGGAAGCGACTGAATGCATGTTTGGTGGCGATTGCCGTTTCCTATGCCAGCTCAGTGTTTTTATCGTCTTAAATATGTCCTTTATCAATTTGTCGACTCAGAGCGGTGAAGAGATTTGCTTAATGTTAGCCATTGGATCAAGCTACTGAGCAGATTTTGTTTCAGAACACATATAACAACAGCCCCACACACGTATCGAAATAGTGCAACCGAATCTCATCAAACGATAGAGATCTACCGCATTCCCGATAAGATCACCATACGAACATCTCGAAATTCATTCTCCAATGTATTCCATAGCCAGCATTTCACTATTCTTGTGCCTGGGCAGTTTCGTTGCGAGTATCCGTTCAGTGATTGTTCTTCCCACATCCTCGGTTTCTTGCCTCAGTCATGCCGCCGTCTGTTCTCAGGTGACCTATTTGCAATCCATGGCTCTCTCCCATCACTTTCGCTTTCGCACTCTGATCTTCGACTGACGCTGTTCCATTCTGAATGTGGCCCAATTTGGAACTGATCGCGGTCTTTCACTGATTTCGTCGTACACAAAATGATAAAGTAAAGTGTGAACAGTGACATGATTTGTCAAAATACTTGTTTCTGATAGGTTTTTCACCAAGGTAATCACAGATTTTCAGACATAGGATTCTGGACTTGGTTCCCATTATTCAAGTCTTTCTATCCTGCTTTTCTTTTGTCATTCGTTATAAAAAAAATAATGAGTGGTAAGAGGATATGTTTTTGTGAAAAAGCGAAACAAAAAAGTGGACTCGGTACCGGTTTTCTGGTTCGACTGGCGATAGAAATGACCGACCGGTTTAGAGAACGTGTGTTGGCGCCTTTTTAGACAATCTTTGAAAAAATTTGCAAAAAAAGAAATATCTCGAACATCTCAAAGAACTCGATGAACCTTCTCTCCGAAAGCTTATCCGTAGCGTCAAAATCGATTTCCTCAATGTCATTCACAGGATTATCGTTGTTCGTACTACGCCTCTTCGAAGTTTCACGACATTTTTCAAATTTTTCATTTTGTCTTAGGGTGATGCCTTCGTTATTATCAGAATATGGTAAGAAATTCGAAGATTGGATGGTGGAGATGTTCTACCAGTATGGTCTAATCCTCGGTAAACATCCATTCTGGTTTTTGTGCGGCCCATTAATTTTCACTGCCTGTTGTGTACCCGGTTTATTTTCGTTGAAAATCAATCTTGACCTCTATAAGCTATTCGTTCCATTGGATGCACCGGTTAGTGGAGTTTGTTACTGTTTTGTGCTTATTGAAACAGTTTTAATCTACTTATACAATTTATATCCCTTTTAAATGGTTTTCCAACGAACTAATATTCGAAGCATTATTTTGGAAGACGTCGACGTCACTAGATGTTTCATCTACGATTTAGACTAGCTCTCTTTGGCAAGCAAATCATTAAGCAGGTATCGTCACAATAACCAAAAGGCCTTCAGTTTTATCCATTGCCCTAGGGACGCGTCATATATTCACTTCATTCAATGCATGCAGTATTCTGCAGGAACATGCCGATGAATCAACTCAGTGTTTCTTTAGCCTCGCCGACAAATATGCTAGCAATTTGCAGGCCATAAAGGAAATGGGTCCTGGGTTTGCACACAGTTCATGGTTGAACCGACAGCCATGTGTGTATTACACGGCGGCTCCAACCAATTTTCTACACGCGGCATTATGCTGTAATCTTAGCAATTTTTTTTACCCACAAAAAAGAACCAGTTAATCCCATTTATCGGAAACTTGCTTATGTGGAAAAATCTGGCTTATACTTGTTAAGATAATGCGATTCGTCTTTTTTTTCTGATGGAACAATCAAACCGTAGACTCCTAGTTGAGTTATAATTTTGGCAGTCGTAAGAGCCTACACACCTGTTTACGTGTAATGATCTTGTTACCATACAATACCATGTTTATGGTGTTTTTTCAACTTGTTGTTCTCAAAATGTTGTAATTTTAAGGTGCGCTACGAACATGAGCGGAGTTTAGTATTTGATAAGATGCCGATGGGGGATTTAACAAAGATTAAAGAAGCGGTATCTTCGGGACAAAGTGCATCTCATCAACAACGACGACAGCCTCGTGAAAATAGCCAGTTAGCAACCCACTCAGAGATTCCTAAATCACAAGACGATCTGAACGGACGTGTCGGTGAGCAAAAACATGCAAATATTACCAGAAATAAACGACAGAGTAAAGTGGACCCGCATAAAAGAGAAATGATGGTTAAAAAGACGCATGGCCGTAATTCCGCAGGTAAGGATAATCGTTCGATAACATTGGCACTAAATAAGTGCAGTTTTTTCTTCTCCATGCTTTCATATAAATTACAGTACCGAAAAAAACTGATATTCTTCGATTCTACGTCGTTCATAAAAACTTCGAAAACCTATTGCAATCGAAATATCTTGGACCTCTCTATGAATATACGATTACGATGATGAAGGTAACAATGGAATTTCATGGCAAACACTACGGGTTGGAGGATTTTTGCTACAAGGACTCAGCTCATCCGGTAAGTAGTAATATATCACTAGTATCATAATGTACTGTTAATGCTGTGACTTGAACACTATCCAACGTCAGGCTATGCGGTTTTGTTGACTGATTCCGTGCCAATGTAGATACGAAAAATTTACTTCCTCACCTTTTTAATATTCACTCTCTAGCTGCAGATGATACTCTGAATCTTATTTTATGTGTATTGGCTCAGGAATGCGACAATTCACTTAATCTTTGGATAAAACATGCAAATATCCTATTCGAAGATGGGAAAGTGAAAACGAATCCAAATCTTCAGCTCTCGTATCCAGTACTCTACTTATTCAACCGGCCAAGGGACATTGGGAATGTAAGTGAAACCGAAATTTATTTTTTTCTTGATTGGTCAAAGTATTTGTCATTAACTCGTCTTACTTGTGCAACAACACTGTTAAGGTGATTTATGGTGTAGACGTTAAAGGAGAGAAAAATGAAATTCAAGGAGCACGAGTACTCACTCTACACTGGTTTGTTCTTATTGGATACCTTTACGTTCTCCTTCACTCAAAAATTGATCAGCTGGTAGATGAATAATACACATTATGATGTGCTCCTAGGATGATAGAGTATCCGGGAACACCGGAGAATGACGCTGCTTATTACCAGTACAGAGAGACCGTAATGGATTTTTGGAAAGATGTGATGAAAGAGACGGCTTTGGAAATCATACCACATAAGTAGGTATCACATCGATATTCAAGAATAGTTGTTCAACAGCTGAACTTGTGAGCGCATGTGAGCACAATGTCCGTCCTCTGATTGTTTTTTTATGATTTTAAAAGTCGACGGAATGCAGAGATTTTATGAAAGCACTTATTCGTACTGACCATCATGGCGAATCATTCAGTAGCCATACATCAAACTGTAGAGCTTATGCATGATCGCTTTTTTCTCAAACAAATATAAATATCTCCCATTTTGCGTTACAGCGATAAAGCAATGGATGACGAAATGATGAAAATCATCGAGACCACGGTGCCATTTGCTGTACCGGCTACCGTAATGCTTATGTTCTATGTGGTATTTGCAAACTGGAGTTCTGTTAAACATAAGTAAGTCTCTTTTATTGCATTTATATTGACAGCATATGTTTTTCTAGTAATGTCTACGGATTTGAGATCAAAGCCACTTGAGATGTATCTTGGTGTGTGGACCGTCATTTTGGCTCTGATATGTACATTTGGCATCTTCTTTTGGTTCGGTGCTGCGTTCAATCCCGTGACATCAACTATGCCTTTTCTCGTTTTAGCAGTCGGTATGCTTCGTTTTTCAATCAGTATGTTATCCATCTAAAGATACCCCTATACTGTAACGCAGTTTTTGCTCTTCAGAAAAGAGTCTTCATTTTACGTTCTTCGAATGCCATTGAAGTCGTAAAGTTGTAATGCCGAATTTTCCAAGAATACCTATAGCTACCGATAACTACGATTTCAGTTCGGATTTTTTAAGGTATTGACGACGACTTTTTGATGATCGCGGCATGGCGTGAAATTGATCGACGTGTTCCGGTTCATCAAAAAATAGCGCTTGTTATGGGCGATGCTGGCGCTTCAATTACTGTTACCTCGTTCACCAACTTTTTCTGCTTCGGTAAGTCATTTTCAGCATTAGTTCATAATAGGTTAAAGTTTCAAAGTCTTGCACGTATTAAATTACAAGAAGGTTTCGGTTGAATGCAGTCATAAAACTCAGAACTATGTTGTAGCACTCGGATACTACATGTGTTCTACTCCGGCGGTTTCCGAGTTCTGCTTGATCACGGCATGGGCTGTCCTCATTGACTATCTTATGCAGGTGGTTACAGGAAAGTTGTGATCTTTCCAGATCTTTAAAATAAGAAGAAAACTCTTAGGTTACCATTTTCGCTGCAATTCTGTGTTACTCGGGAAGAAAGGAAGATACCGGAGGATTGGCTTCATGTTGTTACAAGAAAGAGGTATTTTTTGTGAAGAATCTGGAAAGGAGAATGGAATTGCTTTGATTGTCAGGATCAAACACAAGCCGAAACCGCTTCGCCGCCAATCGTTCAAACCACAGATTTAGTGATCGACTGTCATCATCATGCAAAATCAAAAAGTTGTAAGTCATATGCTCAAGTTTCTTTTACGGAAGAGTGTTCTTAAAATCCTCTGTTCAGTACCGTACATGCATAAGTTCTTTGGTGAGCGTTTTGCTCCTTTTATACTCCGTAACGACGTCCGAGTTATCAGTTGGATTCTATTCATTGCATATACATGTTTAGCACTCTATGGATGTTGTAAACTAAAGGTACAACAAACTTTGATTTTTGTAAAAAAAAATTACGATAGTTTTTCTTCGTAGTGTAAGGTTTGCTCTCATGTGACAACAATCGCATTGTCATCAGAACCAAATTTAGGTCGATATCAGCCCTGTTAAATACATTCGTGATAATTCACCTATTCAGACGTTTGTAAAACTGGCTGGTAGGTCATGCTGTCGTTGTTTCCCAATTTTACTGATAATTTGCTTTTTTGGAATGTTTTTTTAGTGATGGACCTGAAGAAAAACAAGCGTAGAGGTTTTGGTTGATTTCTTAAAAAAGGACAGAAATTTACTCTTCAAAATAAGTCAAACATGGTTTGAAGTAGATAAGAGTTAAATTAGCTAAAAATATATTAAGACGAATTCTCGTGTTAGCCGCTATAAAGATGAGAAGGCTAGTTTCCATATTTGTTCTTCGAATCTCTTTCCCTTTATCAAATTTTCCAGCTAGCTCTCAGGTTATGTCAATTACCTTCAGTGAGATACTACAGTAGTATAGTAAGGAAGAAATCCTGGATATTGAAAAATCGATATTTCCATCAGAAAACTAACGCGTGGGTAAGTCTAGAGTAGGATTTCCAGTATCGACCTAATACAAACAGAATTACAATGCAGATAGCCTGTTTTTATGAAGAAATGAGAACGGTCTGCCAAATTTCGTAACATCAAAGGGAAAAAGCCGGTCCAATCAGCAAAAAACCAAAGCAGAAGGTGATCTCAGGGGTCTTATTAGTTGTGAATAGAGACGACCTAATCCATTCTATGTTCATAAGTACACCGTCTGGTGAGCATATCACACCTAGGTTTTTTCCCATGCTTTTCCGGATTATCTGTAATTATAATTTTTTTTCAATATCCACACCGTTTTCATTTTTTTCCTTATAAAAATCAGATTTTCAAAATCGTGCCTGCTCTACCTTTTTTCTTACAAAAGGTTAGATTTTCCTATCACTGATGTACTGAAGAAGAGATTCAAGGGTTTTTTGCTCGCAAACGAAGGATTTCGTGCATGAACCACTGCAATGCTCGCAATTCGACTGATTTCACGCTAATTTGAGAGCGATATAAGATTGTTCTTCGTGGCTAAATAATCTCGTCGCTCATCTCTAACGAATGAAGGAAACGAAATACCACTCTAGAAAATGAAGAATAATATTAAACTCATCATAGAACAACGTTAAAACAAAATTCTCCAGACAAGTATATCTGGGCTGATAATGTGATGCCGAGGTTCCATGTGATGAATCCACCTGACCTACGCGATGCCGCTAAACGTTCTCGACTTAATGAAGTCGTTTCTCGATTAGAGCACACTAACTACTCGATCGGAAGGGTAAGTTATCCAAGTCTTATGTGAACATCACGCGAAATAATTGCTATTCTAATAACTGCAAGAAAGCTTGGAAACAGGGAGACTTAGAAATGTATACACTCTTCAGTCTTCTTTAGGTGTCAACGAATTTTTGGATGTGGCAGTATCAGCAGTACCTTAACGATTTTCCAGACATCGATTATCAGAAGGACTTCTACAATAAGAAGTATCTGAAGGACTTCTTCAGCCAAATTGATTATTCACAATATCGGCGTATGTGACGAATTCCTCTTCTAATCGGTATTAATTCGATATGTTTATGATTTCATATATTTCAGCAAATGTAAAAATACTTGATAATGTTACAAATGGCGAACCATGCATATCGATGTTTATTTTTGAAACATCTTTCTACGGTCTGGATAGTTGGGATAAGCGACAACGTAAGTGGTTTTTCTTCAGTAGTTACTGCCTCTTCTTAAGTGAATGCAGCAAAGTGGTTAAAGTTTCCTTGTGGTGCACATAATCGTTAGTTCGATTTCTCAGTTCGAACTAGTCAAGAGTACTATTTCTAAACGACAAGCACATTGGCATATTTACCAGGATAAAGAAAAGACGTTAACTTAATAGACATAAACGCAAGTTATTGCGTGCCTCAAATATGCATCAAATCACTTCAGCGGTTCCGCAAATGGAGTCGCACCGCCCATTCCTCAGGGGATGCTTAACCCGAAGACGTTATGCTTTTATTTCTTCTATTTTCATACATATTTTTTACCCACAGCTTTCAAATACAATCTATGCTAGGTGAACTTTTTAAATGGAGAGCAATCCTGGACGAGTATCCTGAATTTGACATGTTCCTGGCTGGTATTTTCAGGTAGTTAAGATTTTTTTCTACAAAAGTTTAGAACAAGCAAGTTACTAAAACTTCATGGACCGAACTCTAGTAACTACTTCGTTAGTTAGCACGAACACCTGCAGAAAAGGTTCTTATTGGAATACTCTTCTTTTCTGTTTTTCCGGTTTAATTGGAACATTTGTAAGGAATTAATTTTAAGAACATTATTGAGTATGTCTACTAATTAATGTGGAATTCATCAAAAGTAAGGATTGTTGAAAAGTCGATTAAAAAGTTCAAACATCTTTATGTGAATAGTTTTGACGCTTTGTAGTCTGTGTGTTGACTGTTTTTTATTATGCTATTAATATTATAAAAATATTTATCCCTTTTTTCCTGTAGTCCTTTCCTTATCGACCAGCGTCATACAATTGCTCCGTCCTCAATGCAAACGATCGGCTCGGCACTGGCGATGATGGCGCTCATTTCGTTCTTCTTTCTACCAGATGCGGTTTGCCACTTTTTCCTATTCCCATTTGTTATATAATTTGCGTGATCTGACATCGCGGGTATCACAGTGTGCGGATGCAATTAATTTTTGCAGCAATCAGTTTTCCTAATGACCTGGTCGTTGTTGTCCATTTCTATGGGTGTCTGTGGTGGATTGGCGGTGCTTGGGTCCGATCTGGACTCAGTTAGGTGAGCCCTCCATTGGCATCTATGATGACCTATGACCTATGATGGTCGGTGGATTATTTGATCAAAAGACGTGATGATATGGGGATGAGAAAAGAAAAGAATCGAGCAAAGTAGGGATAACGAAAAAAGTGGGATGTCTGACAAAAAAGAGTTGAGACAAAAGAACAATTTCAACACAAGTGGAGAAAGTTTGTAGTAGAGGCGCTGATTTATACGCATTGCAGTATGGGATGTATTGTGATGGCTATTGGTTTGGCTGTCGATTATTCAGTCCACATTTGCTATCGTTATCATCGCTCCGAATTCATGAAATCCTCGGACAAGGTCTGAACTTCGGTTGTGAACCGTTATGACGTTTTCGCCTTTTGCACTAAATCGCACGAATGATCAGAGAGGTGCGCTGTAGTCACAGAGCTGTGTTTCAACCACTGCTACGGCGACTGCCATGTGATCGTTACAAATTTTTCTCAGAATTTTGACAGATTTTTCTCTAATTTTGTTATGAACACGTCATATTCAGGTTCGCGATACACTGTCCTCCGTGGGATGGCCAATTACACAAGCGGTTACATCGACATTGTTTGGCCTTATTACAACCGCTTTTGTTCCCGCTTATCTCGTTCGGGTTTTCTTCCAGACTGTCTACCTAGTCAACATTATTGGTAAGATACAGCATTTACTTCACCTTTTGTCGTTTCCTCTAAAAGCTTTATTTGTTGGGTACATTTCCAAAGCTTTCCTACTACCACGCACTTGAATGATACTGTTATTCCCGTCCTGTAGGCGCGTTACACAGTTGTCACACATTTAATCGTCGAGTAAGATGAACGAGTATTGGGTATATGCCCAGATAGTATTTGAATCCGAAAATCTCCAATAAACGAAAAGCGGGAGATAAATGACACGGAAAAAAGCAACACAAAGACCTTGGATGAGCAACATCGTTCTCTGACTTGTCACCAGCTATTTGTTTTCAGCTTATCATTTGTATTCCCACTTTTCCTGATAAAAACGAAAATTTCTAGGCCTGACTCATGCACTTGTTTGGTTGCCGCAACTGGTTGCAGCACTCGATCCGTGCGAGCGGGTTCCACTAAGGTTAAGATTGAAAAGACACTAAGCAGCAGAACGATTTTCCTCTGAGAAAAAACACCCTAAAAATTGAGTATTAGCTGTTGCGAACTTCATGTTAGTGAGATACTGGTTAATTTTTCTGTCGGCAGTAACAGAACGTTTTCAGTGATTTAAATGCACTTTTTAAACTGCATTCCATATTCATCTGTTCGTAGTGTTTCACACTCACACACCTATTAGCGAACTTTACTCCTTTTCTCCCATTTTATCCCTTTCGTTGTCTTCTCCATCTAGCTTTTCTTTCTATCCAAGTGTCGGAATGCCTCAGAAAGCTATTAAATAAACTAAAATTTCGAGGTGCGTGAAAAAACTCATTTCAGTGAATGATCTGATCAGTTTTGTTCAACGAGAAGAATCGATGTTTGTTTTCTCAGCATTGGGATAAAGTTTTCCTAGTTACTAGTCCTTTGTTAAGCAACAAAATTACGAGTAAAATTTTTTATGGCAATGTTTGCGCAAAATCGAAGTCACCTATTCTTAGGAAAAGTTCGACGTTTACATCTGAGAAATCTGATGAGGTTAATCCAATACCCGAAACTGTCATCCTTGAGGCGGAAACGTGGCTAAAAGGCTGCAGATCATCTTCCAATTCACAGAAGTGGACGACATTTGCACAGAAACTGCCTCGCACGACTTACGGCAAATGTTAGCAGACCAAAAAAAGCCTATTTAAATTGACGTCCACTAATTTCCTTGAAAAACCTACAAGGGCGAGATGCTAGTATTACACTGATATACAATTATTCAGAAAATAATAAATGATCCATGCGTGAAACTGTTGGTTTATCGACGAGAACTAATTCGAAGCTTTTTGTGTGATTGTCGCCGATGTTGGCGTTCTGTTTCGAGAACTGTGACGTCTGGAAGCCCGGTTTCATCATTTATAGATCGTTTTGGGTTGTAGGTACGACTGCTTAACGAGAACCGCAAACGTGTCCATTCGTCTAGTAGATGGTCACAATGGAGGGCTCATGGATACTTTTGAAGTCCACTATATTGTGGTTCTTGCACATCTGTCACCAACTGTTCCCATTGGGTTACCTTTCCATACGTTTTATTTTCAACATGTGCTCGTAGGATCTCAATGATTGCTTCCTAAGATTTTAAATGCAGATCCCAGCTAGGTAGCCACACGATGTGGCACAATAATTGAGGAGTGGGTGCAGAGCGTTGGTAACTTAACAATGAGACAGCGACCCTTGTATTTGAATGCAACGCTCGAAAGGTACTATAAAGCTTCCCCCTCTTTAAAATAGTGTTATTATGCAAAACGGGAAAATTCTTTTAAATGACTTGCTCGAAGTAAGGCAACGCAATTCTTCAGTACAGGAACTGATGAAACAAAGATTTTACTGCACGCTTATAAGGAGGATACTGTTTGCGCTTTTCGCCCTTTTTTCACGTTCAGTATAAGCTGCAGGATGCATCGCCACCGTGAAAGGAGTCCAAAATGGATGGGCAATATATTAAATCCCACTATGCATAAAAGGACTCCATGGAATGAGGTAGTCATTCGAGCGTGCTCCACTCCACAATAGCTAAACTGGACATTTTTACAAGAAATTTTTATTAAGTAGTTAATTTATTGCTTACCAGTGACAATACACTCAACAACCATATTTATGTAATGCTGAGAAAAACAATGTACTTCTTATTATCTAAAATAACAAACAGAAACTTAGAAGTCGAACAAGACTCGTTTAGCGTCGGAAGAGCACAAGTCGGGTGAGTGATTTTGGTAAGTGAGCGACTAGTGCTTTAGTAGGACTCGTGGGTGTTGGGGCAGGTGCAGGTAGACTAGCACGATGTGATGTACCGTCACCGTTGTCAGCATGTTCAACAGCAGTACCACATGCTGTGACTGGACCGGCAAAACGTGACGCTGACGATACTCGACCGTCTATCATGCCAAGTAAGTATGGAAAATCGAGAGCCGAACACTAAAACATGATCAATTAAATGTTGTTTAGCACTACTTAAATATAGGAAATTAATAAAACAAACAGAGGAGGCGGTAATAGTTTATGCAACAAACAGAAGGAATTGTCGCTTTTCACAAAAGCACTTCTACTACTGTAGATCTTGCTATTTAGTTTCTCAATAATAGACAGAATAGATTCGAAAAAAACTGTCTTCTATTAATAGTATGGGTTCAAGGATATTTTGCTGGACAGAAGGATAAAAAAATTCCGCCATTCCCATGCCTGAGCGAAAAAGATACTTGATTCTTGATAATTGAATGGCCCGTCCTCATTGGTTGTGTAAGACCCAGCATAATCTCCACTTTTCGGAGGCTTGCTGGTTAAGCCACTGTGGCTCCCTAGAATCTCAAGGCCAGCCTGGCCAAAGTCTGACCCAAATCTTCACTACCACAGGCAGTCGCAGCCCTTGTGGATCAGAGGGAGATTTGCCACCACGCGACTTTAATACCAGGATACTGGTGGATCTTGGTATTAGTTTACTCTTAGCTAGGCTTCCTGATAGAAACGCCGGATTCCTTCTCAGATTGGGAGACCTTGCTAGGGGATGAATTTCGCTGCTGTACATCGCAGCCCGACACGCAGGAACACCTCCCAGCCACAATGAGGCGGTTAACAGTTGGTAGCGATCAAAAACGATATGTTGAACAACTAGATACATTGTCGTGAAGATATCGTATCCTTCAATGCCAATCCGTTCATGCATTACTTAGTTACAAACTTTTAGAATTGGTCTTTAATAAGCAAAACTCGGGATCTACGACAACATTCATCTCAATAAATTCAATAGCGACGTTTAAAAAATAGACATTAACCGATTTCTGCAATCTGTTGCCAACTGAGTGTAAAAGATGGCCAGATAATATAAATCAATACCTCAGCTTCATGTTCCGTGAAATCGTCTATATCCACGAGCAATGAGTCATGTTCCATATGAAGGCTATCGCGCTCAATCAGTAACTCAACTAGTTCAAGATTTTTTCCTGAAGAAAAAAATACCTAAGACCTAAGGAATTTACTCGATTTTTTCAGCAATCTTTACCTTAGAATAATAACGGGCTTATCTATTGTAACGAATCTACGTCTCGTGTTAGCTCATCAATAAAATAAGGCACATCAAGAGAGCCTTCTGTTGTGTTACCGCAAAAAGAAAAATCGATGAAAATTGTGCAACACATTTAAAAAAAAACAACGATAAAACATGAAACAATTCAGCATCCTTCTTTATAATTAAATAAATATAAACAGAGTTCAAGATCAGCACATTCACAGATAAAGTGAGATCGTCAAAATATCGCAATATTAGAACAATGGTGATCCACTTTTTCTTGCAGCAAATAAAATAAAGCTCTCGGCGTTGATCAATCCCCGAGGGATGCGCCATCATCCGACTTCATTAAGCATCGTTGAAGGTGACTGAATATATATCTGGCCTTTACAATGACTCGCGGTGGCTTACCGATATGTTGAACTAGTGCTGCTATCCTCCCAGACAAGTTTGGCACCAATTTGCCGGCCCCGAAATGATAGAAGGATTGCTGGGCCGCGGGCGTGGGAATCGATGCCATGTGTATTGCAGGGCGCCTCCGAGCACTGCCCCACACGCACCATTTTGTTGCAATATATTCATTAACTTGTTTAACTTGTGATTTCTGTGCGGTTGGTCTCTACGTGACATACTTAGTGGAGACCTCATAGAAAGCGGCTCTGAAGAAGGCGAAATTCGCCGAAACGTCAGCTTAATCGTGAACAAAGAACAATAACACCTCGCGTTTGCTCAAAAAAATGCGAACAAAATCACTTAACTTGTTTAGTTTTACCAAAACAAAAAATATTTCCCATAGTATTGTTACACCTTGTTGTTCCCTAATGAGGCGAATAAAGCAGACATTTTTCATCAAAATAACCACTGCCATGGCTAATGTCTTGGGAAAAAACATAAAATTACCATTAAAAATGCTTCTTAATAATCGTTAAATTCACTATTATAGTGCTAGCTTTTTTTAGTTCTTCTTGAAGGCTTGGAGATGGAAATGGGATTTCTTGTTGAAAAAGACGTTAATTGTTCAGACGACACAACAGTTTCTAAGTGATCAAAGCTGATGTTTAACGTTAATGTTAAAACAAATTTTCCAAGGAGGCTCAAAAAGTTAATCGCATCAGCAGTCAACTACAAACATTTCGCAATATAGTTCGTTTCAGGGAGCGGATAGCATAGTGGCAGTGATGTCGGCCATCACGAGCACGGTGTTGTTCGATTACGCCTCAGGCTCACCAAGCCTCGCATTCCTTCGAGGTCGCGACATTCGTACCAGACTTGCTCGCGAAAAAATAACTCTCCACAATCCAACTGGGAGCACTCCATTCCGGCTATCTCACGACTCCAGTGAGAATCGAATCAAGAAGCATTCTACGACATCTATTATGAAGTAAAGATCCTCAATCAGCAGCGACACCATACGTAAAAGTAGGAAAGAGCTTCGTGGAAGATGGATGACAGGAAACGAATCGAATGCGAGAAATGCTGGGATCCGCACAGAGAAAGTGAAGGCGGGTCGTGCAACATAAAAAATAAATAAATATTTCGTTTATAAGAAGGGCATAATAGGAAAAAAACACAATTTTTGCACAAAAATGATAGGTTACATTTGTCGTAGAAAAGCAAAAATTTGGACAAAAACCACAACATTTTCTTTTCGATGAGATGTTACACTTTCAGTAATTGGTGTTTTAAAACGAACGGCACACGTCTTTTCATTTTCACAAAAGTCTCATCCATGGATGATTTTCCACAGGAACCAATCCGAAATGTTCGCCATAAAACGGTCTTTTAGTCAAAAGGACGAGGAGAATAGAATTGAAACACTCAGTGAAAGTATTTTTAAAATATTTATGCTAATAAATTCGGAAGAGTTCGATTCGGGAAACTATTATTTGTTCTTATTGTACTATGAAGCATCATATAACGGGCTTGCAATGTAACGACGGAAATGCGATGTTTTCATTCACTTTAACCCTGTCGACCTCTTACTGGAAACATTTGCTTTCGCAACTGCCGTTTTTCGGTTCGACCAACTGCAGATTGTTCTTGTGTTACTTTACAGCTGAATGATTTACAGCTGTACTGGCGCACTCCCTAATATCTCGGAATGAATAATGTTTTCAGACCATAAAAATCGCTGGACTGTAAAAAATCCGTAGTTCAAGAAATGAAAGATATCCTTAATCAGCAAAAACTTCGCCCGAATCCCCGAAGTTCGGGACATTTTCCTAGTTTTTATTTCTTGCTCTCTCAACAACCTTTCCATAGTCGAAACTGTTACCAACTATAAACCGGAAGTGTGTAAATTAGAAAACCAATAAATAAAATGGTTATATGGAGAAATCTCTAGCAGTTTTTATTTCCGATGATGAGATGTGATATCACGTAAATGTGCGGTACTGACAACTAATTTATCAACAGCCGATTTATTCGTCTCGGTATCCTTTCTGCTGATAAAATACCTCTACCCAGTGCCATCAAACACGAGTTGTCATTAGCGTAATAAATATGGAACAACAATAAGCCTACTAAGATAGAGATCACGTAAGTTATACTTACGATCTATAGCTTCTTCTATCATCTCCTTTATTTGTGATACTTCACTGACTGACATTTTTCTGAGGTACTGTCGAGCTTGCCGAGGCACATCGCTTGCTTTTGACTTCGTACTGCAACTATACAAGTTACAACCACTACTTACATATATATGTATACACATATATATATATATATAAGTGCTAGCCTTCTATGTCTTTGTAAAGCAAGTTCAGCTGCTCTTTCTGCACTTTTCAAAACTTTTCTCGTTTCTCCATACAGCAACGCCTGCCGTTCACCTAGAAATCAAATCATAAGTGTACAAAGCGAGGAGTGCACAACATAAATCATGACTTACTGTGCAATTTCTGGATTTTTCCATTATAGCTGTAAATCTAAACTTTCTGTTACACTACATTTATGGTGCGCGAACAGTAGAAACTAATGTTATTCTAAAGTTCACAAATATAATACACAATAGTTGAAACATGGCATCCCAATCGGCGTTGAACCTAGGTAAGCTGATGCTGCTGTTGAAATCACAATATAACTTTTTATTTATTTTTTAAATTAGCATTGCGATTTCAACTACAGCCTCAGCTTAACTGGGTTCGTTGTCGATTTGAGCCCCACTGATCAATCCCGCTGACGGGTGATTGCTGATAGCAAAAGATCGATAGAACTATCTGATAGACAGGCGAAACAAATGACCCGCATGGTGTGGTGGTGAACGCGTTAGCCCCCGAAAAGGATGATAGGGCGTTCCTTCACCACCGCAGACACCTGCAGTCCGGAGTTTTGCAAATATCTCAGTACCATTGTGATCCCGTTAATCTTCGAGTAACCACTGTGGGTACAACAAGTATATTCCACTCGTCCTCTCCGCATATCAAAGTTTCACCGTTAAAAGTACACGGAGAGAAATAACATTTTTGTAATAATATTACTTCATCACAGCTTTCTTTTATGAAAAGACAGCTACCCTTAACCCATTCGTTCTTACTGCTGCAAGGTTTTCCCTAGTTCCGCATTCCAACGAAAAGTTTCAACTCGTACTTAGATTGAGTAGTCCATCTACGGAGCCGAACTATTGTTGTGCATTGCTGCTTAATACGTAGAAACAAAACCAGAGCAACGTGGTAAACGATTTACGACACCCTTTATGGCTATCCCAGTTTCTCATGTTGGCCACAATTCATCGAAACATATGCTTATTGTTAAGCAACGTTGACATAATTAGTCCTTAAAGTCAGCACACCAATAGTTTACTGGCTCACTATGGCTTGGGTCTTTCTGAACGTCAAACATCAATGTACAGCATGAAAAGTAGATTTCACAAAAAATATCTAAGCTAAGAACAATAACGACATTTGTATAGGAATCACAGTTAATAGTGAAGCTTTTTCTACATACCATGATGACACAACTTAAATCTACTCACGAAGTGGTAAACATAGCTTCGATTCATTACAAATGCTGGAGACTTCAGGAACTTCCCGCTAAGAGCTACTGGAAAGTCCAAAAACTAAATATGAATACACCTTTTATCCCCAGCCATCAGTTTATAGCTATGCAAGCTGCCATTGCTCACGGTATAGCGAGCACACGTAAAGGATCCTATACAAAGGAGTAATTCATCGTATTCAGCTAGCGAGAAGAACTGACGAAGTCGGATGCCCAATTTAGAATGGATGAAGTTACTCATTCACGCAGGAATGCTCGGTAACAATGTTAGCGGAATTTAAGTTGATAGACGTAGTAGACGAGGTTTTAGTTTCAATAATACTTATCAAATGCCGACTGTAGTTGACTTACTCATTTACCTTCGTTCCTTTCGAGTACTTGGCCTAATTCAACTAGACATACTTCCTTATACAAGAATATTACCCACTCTATACGAATAGCTCTGAAGAGGATGAAAAAATTTTATTGGTATAAGTAAAAGGCTTAACAGATAAAGCCGAGGATTTCTCCTACACAGCATATGTTTGCTTATATGCTAATTTCGCCAAATGAATCAGTTAATCTTCTCAGTGATTTCCTGATGCATCATGATAAAGAGTATGTTCATGATGTTGAATTGTGATACAGAGTAGAGGGTGCATCCCCAGCGGAGTCAAATGTTCTGTGGATCGATATTTACACAAACAAGTCGGGCTAAGCAGTAAACTAATGCCAGGAATCAACACTGTACCGGCAACGGAGGCCAAAACGAGAAACTTTCCTCCGATGCAGAACAGCTGCAAGGTCTGGGATAACAACTTCGGGACGCCCTGCTATGCCCACCTCAGGAATTCCGAAAGAAAAATTCTCTCTAATCAACAAAATGCTACCGCAATGAAGTGTGGTGGTCCGTATGATTTTTTCTGAAGAGAAGTCAATAAATAACTAAGTAAATGTAAAAGATAAAGTAAATGTAGGCGGTTATTTCATTGATATCAATGGTTATTTTACAACCCATAGTAAAAAAAAGACAAAACATAAAGCCATGTGATGAGCCCACATGGATTGCCGTTTTTGAAATGAACATCGTAGAATTTCACTTTTTCTCCCGGTACTATGCCATATATGGTAGCTGACTGGGTCCCTCGAGGAGCACTGCCCCTTTATTCGGAAGTATTTGCCGTGCTTTATAGATATTTATAAAAACACTCAGCCACTACATCTTAGTGATGTGCAATTTCTGAATGATCCAAAGGGCTATTTCTAATCGGAGACAAATCAGCGTTCGAAAGAATGGATGGGTTTTAAATAGAAAGAAAACAAAATGCTCCCATGGATGGCATACATAAATTCTGCATGAGTGAATACAACGCATGAATTCATGACGGCAGCATTAGACAATAATCATCTTGATTAATGATGGATTTAAACAACCAGTTGCTTGCGATCACTGCCTAGATCCATAACATCAGCATGAAAGCCACCTCTCCATCACAGAAATCCCCCATCCGTCATAAATATCCCTTTCACTCATTATTCACCTAAAGAAGCCAGCGCTCGTACGATAGCTTCCCAATAAAGGACAAGTTACTGCATGCCGCTTTCATTGGTTGTTCCTTAGTGGTGAACATAAAGCAAACATCAGAAATATTGTTGTGCAGTCAACCTCACGACTTGGCCAGTGGGAAGAACATAGCCGAATAATGCATCAAATTGTTTTGCTGATTTGACAATCACGTCCTTTAATTTCGCTATCGAACAGATTTTTTATCTACACCCCGTGTAGATTAATGGTACATTCAGATGGCGCGCAAGTGTAGGGAGAATGTGGGCAAGAAGCAAATTTGTTCCAGATTTACCATCCAAGCTGAGCACTATCAATATCTCCGAATGCTTGAGATGTATATTTTCTAGTTGAGAAGCCCGTATGATGAATGACTTAGCCCTATAGTTGAGAAGGAACTAAGCGCAAAGTCTGCAGTAACTCCGAGGATGTGGTAAAAAAAAAGAAAAAAAACAGAAAACATTCGGGCCTGTGCACCTGTTCTACTTTGCAGGTTGTCCCATTTTAACGTACAACTTGGTAGCCCGGAGGTTAACTTAACCACAAAACAAATCAGGACATGACAAGCAAAGGTGTATCTTTTATTCCACCATTTCTTGACGTTCCACTCTGCAGTTCCCATCAATTAACTGATTAGAATCATTTCCTCACATTCAACATTTACAAAGGCCTTCGAATTTGCGTATGAGTTCGGCTGCTTTTTGAATGCTGGTCGAGTCGAGTTTACTTCCTCAGAAATCTTGAGTTAACTGACGACAGAGCTTTCATAGGTATTGTGATTGAAAGGAACTACGCCCATACAAGTCTGATAAACATGGAATTTATAGAGCAGAAATTTAAAAAAAAAATAAAAAATCAGGTAGAAAGATGTCGAACCACAAGTGAACCGAAGGCCTGTTGCACCCTAACCACAAATGGTGGGATAAACAGTTAGCGATTGGGTTTTAAGTGACCTAATTGCACAGTAGGAAAACTTTCGACCTGATGGTTACAGTTCCTCATGAATAGTATGAAAAGAAAATATTGCGTTCTTCGTTTTCAGAAAGGATTGGGCAACTTTGTCACGAGACAGGAATGAATGAAAACACTGTTGGTTCTTGCTCAAATCATTCGATGATCCAAGGGAGAACATACAGAGCCGGCATATATATATATATATATATATATATATATAAGCATTATATATATAGGTAAATACATGAATGTATATGTACGTATCTACGTGGACATTTATTACATCATAACAATCTACCTAAAAATAAGAAAGCTCTCGGCGTTGATCAATCTCTGAGAGATGCGCAATGCATTCGTCTTTATTAAGCATCGTTTGAAGGTGATTGAATGCATATCACCTCTATACAATGACTCGTGGCGGCCGACCAATATATCGGGTTAGTGCAGTGCTACTACACTCTCATACAGATCTGGTACCAAGACGCCGACCACTGAAGCATGGAAGACGGGCATAGGGTGCAGGGTCGATCACGTGTGTATTGCAGTGCGCCTCTAAGCACTGTGCTGCACGTACACTGTGTAATCTCATTAACAATACCGTTCATACACCTTTTCCAGAAATCATACCGCTAACCAGATCGCAGCTACTCGGTCTCTAGATGTAAACAGTAGGTGCTATCGGTTAATTCTCTAGTAGACTAGAAATAATAAACATCACTAGCTTGGTTACTCTAAAGAAAAAAACGACTTGAAAAGTGCAAAAACTAAAATAAAATTAGAGAAGAAATTAGATGAAGTGACATGCACAGCTCTTGAATCAACGCATACGCACCTCACATGTGTAACTGAGTTGGTTCTAACTGATGGACCTAGGGAAAGCGAACCTAACAACACGATTTCATGGGTGAGAACCTACACTGATCCAGATTCTGATCGTTAACGGCTTGATCGCGAAGTTTCTGAAGATATGGATCCTCTTTAGATGAGCTAGGTCGACTGATTCCTTAAAGTTATGCTAATCATATGTAGACCATTTAAAAGAAAGCTTCCAAATAAATCCGCTTTGTGAAACAAAGGAATTTCGGAATTTGTGAAAAGTAAGTTCAAGGATTCATCGATTTTTTATCAACACTTTACAACTGTATACACCTATGTGAGAGCTCTTTCAGTCTAAAGATATATCCACTTCTTTAAATTAATGATACTCATCTAATTCTTAACCTATCTTAGTTTTTGAAACACATGAAAATTGTAATGGACAGTTGCACTCGTATTTTTTCTTCTTGCTAACTTTGGTTTTTCAACTAACTGAAACAGTAATTTTACGGTTTTCGAGAACGACGAAAGCCTGTCTCAACTGAAAAGGAAGATAAATACTAATACATACGAATCCCTATCAACCTTTTAGATTAGGTGTCGATCGTGACCTCGGTACCACAAATTCGTCTTCTGATTCCGATAAATCGCTTTCAGATGCACTCTCCGCTAACTCATTCATGTAACATACCTAAAAAGACTATAGACGACAGGAATTGAGATTCCAATGCGCATAACTTCCGCTTATGGGCGAGAGGGGAGATGTCGCAGATAGTGGTTAGAGCTGCTTCAAAATACGCACATGATTCGCTATAGCGCTCAATGGGCTTCAAACTGCTAGCAATCCTTTCTGGTAGGATAGAAAACAACTGATGTACTACATAGAAAGAAGCATGTAAGTCATTATATAGGCCAAATGTGCATGCAGTCACTTGTACGAGGCTAAATGGCGCCGAATGCATGGACACTTCTGACAGATAGACCGATGCAGAACGCTTTCACGCGTGAGCTTCAATAAGGTAACATGCTAGTTGGAATGGGAATGCTGAAGACCCATGCGATGAAATCTAAAGAAAGAAGAGCATTTATGTGGTGCGTCATATGCTACTATTCTATCAAACAATGTTCTTTTAACTGAAGTCATTAGAAAGGAAAAATGTGCTTTCAGTCACTTGTACAAGACTGAATGGAGTCGAATGCATGGACATTCCTGATTCCATATTTTGACAAATTTTGAATTACAGTATGTTATCCTCACATACATTTGTTCACATAAGTGGGAAAAAACTTCTGCTGATTACCTGCAAATGCATGGCCGCTTGTAACCGTAACGCTAAATTCGATCGATGAGGTCGAGTACTAACAACGGGACAACCGCCTTTCCATGAATCAGCTTGTAATGCTAAACGTCGTCGAACCTAAGCAATAAGAACGTTCTCTTACTAGAAACAGTCATCACCAACATATTCGTCTGTTCATGCATTCATCATTGGTGCTACCTTCATTCCGTTTGTTTCCCTCTCGCTCACCGCCCTGTTAACCTCGTGTTCCTTGGCAGCATTCTATTTACTTTTATTCACGTGTTCTTGCTTGTTTGTCAGTCACATCACGCATTTCTGCCATGCACTTCCAAATCCGATTTTCCCGACGTAATCAGCTGTTCAGCGAAGCGCACACAACGTAGTCCTCACACGGTAAATTCGATCCACAAACACAAAGCATAAAGGGTTTGGCTCTCATCAATCCCTTAGGGAGGTCGCCATATGCTGGACTTCATTAAGCATTGCAGAGAGTTTAATTAGACGAGATATCTAGCTTATTACACAACTTTTCGTGTCCTACATATTTGCCAATTCAGTGCTCATCGTCTTCCTACAGAAATCTGGTAAGAATCTACCGACCTGGGAAGAATAGAGGGTTTGGTGAATCTGGAATTTGGGATCGAACCAACAACCAAGGAAGTATTGGGGAGCAGCTCTAACCACTGTTCTCTATGTGCCTCTATGTGTTCTCTATGTCTACAATCATGTATTTCATAAACGTACGATTCACACACTGGAAATCTATGAACGCGCAATTCATGAGCGTACGAGTCACGTCAGAACTCTTGAATATGCTGCGTTGTAAGAAGCGTATTGGATAGATGAACGTTACATATTTATAGATGAGTATTTGTTTTTGAATCATCGTCTCGATGCCCTATAAGTGAAAATAGTCTTATAACCTTTCAAAAATCAACAGACAATACGAAGATACATTAATATTACCATAATTATAGTATTGAAGTTATTCAGAGAAGAAAACAGAACCATACCAAGAAATTTTACTGTGGTTCAAGATTTTTGAATCTCAGACGTCCACTTGAATATTCGGATAACTCGTCAATACTTCACGACTTTATCGTCAAACAATATTTATTTAAAAAACTTCCTATATACTTTCTTTGCGTAATACATAGATGACTCTAATGAGAGCAATTCCCATTGATACGAATTAAAACGATTACACTTTGTCTGCAGCGCCACATCACAACAATGTTGTTCTCTAACAGTGTTTTAGTTGGTAGTCTTATTCGATCACATACAGTTATCATTTAACACTCGCTCTTTTCATTTTCGTTTAAGTGCACAAAATCACTGGTGCAATGAAAACTCCAGTGGGAGGGTTTTATCGTTTCAGAAGTTTTCATTCAGAAGTTACAATACCTGATTAAACCAAGGATTTCAAAAAAGACTTGACGCACACTAACCAGTATGCTTTGTACATATATATATATATATATATATATATAAAGGACAAAGCTGTCGGCGTTAATCAATCCCTGGGGGATGCATCATGCATTCGGCTTCACTAAGCACCGTTAGAGGTGATTGAATGCTTATCTGGTATCCTCTCAGACAAGTCTGGTACCAGTTTGCCGACGCTGGAGGGATGGAAGACTAGGTGAGCCTGTGCCGCGAGGATCGACCTCATATGTATTGCTAAGGGCCTCCGATCTACTGCGCTACACGCGTTCTATATATATATATACATATATGTATATACACATATATGCATGCAAACAGACATACAAACGCTAATACTCATTTCAACATACAGTAGCACTCATACACATACAAGCGAACATACACAGAAACAAGGAAAACACTTTTGCATGAAGTTTTCCCCCAATCAAGTGCGTATGTCTTGGAAACATATTACACACTGCAGTGTCGCCGTATAAATCGTCAGTGATACTGGAGATAATGGTATGGGTCTAGAATGTGTTTTGTAAGAAAATCTCTCCTTATCAATAAAATGTTTGTGTTAATGCTGGCCAATCATTCCAATCATTGAGCTGCTTACTCTTCGATTAACCCATTTTTATAGTCCCAAGAATCGTCCTCGTTCTGCCGCTTCCACTGGTTACAAGGTCACATAAACTTGTCTAGTCTACGATGTGTAAATTGTCTACTGAAAGATTTAAATAGATTCGCTCGGGTGTGAACGAACCATCGTCTATATTTGAGATCTGTTAACCTCGTCACGGTCATAGGTAGACAAACACAGTTACAGAACCATCTTAGGTGAAAAAAAAATTGCAACGGATTAATTTGACAATGTACAGAACAGTAACCCATAGGAATTCATATGGTTTGTCGAATGATCCTATGAGCTTAAATTTCACTTCTTCATTAGGCTTCACGCATTTTTCAATTTGATTCTGATGAAACACAATATGCACGTTAAATGTAAGCATGAAGACAACTATGATGACATCTGGGTTCAGACATATTTGTACGAGCATCCAAACCATCCTATTGTATTCTGGTGTTAAATTTCAAGACAACCATCAAAGCTCCATCACTTGAAAATGATGAAAACTGTTTGCTGGTTTCAAAGTACCAATCAAAACAGAACCCCATTCTCAGTCAAAACTACTAATATTGAAGGTACTTCAACTCTTCGATAAATCCCTGAGAGAAAGCCCACATCTGCCAGGAACTTTCACTACTCGTTTGAATAGCATAATAACTGGTTGAACTCCTCTCACTCTATGAATCAGAAGAACAACAAGCGCCTGTGAATATTCACACTACTCAGTCAATAACGAGATGCCGAAACACTCACGAGAAAAGAGAAGTTCTAAGCTCAAAGGAAACGATTTCAAGAAAACGCCCTATCCGATTAAGCAGAAGCCTCAACACCAAATCAGCACAGATGATATCGAAACTTAATAGAGATCTTATCCAAAGTCTACCTTAATAGACGATTTTAACAGTGAACGATTCCAACGGAACATGCTTAAAGCATACCTCTTCACCTAGAAGCCTACGATCGTGCTCTTCACGCTCCCGTGCCGCATTCCTCAATTGTTCTTCTAATTTGGCAAAATCTAACTCCGGAAGCCCTAAAAATAAAGAAAACACATAAATGCATGCTTTGGTAGAAATCTAATTGTTCGGATATTGGATGTACTCTAATGTGATTTTCGCGTCGTATTTAAGCGCTTATTTCAAATGACCGAATATTCGACTATGTTTTAGTTACAGATTACCAATCCTTTTTTCATTGTAGGATATTATATGAAATGAAGCGGCAAGATGCTGAGATATGAACGAAACTAGGAGGTACAGATGTGATTCGGAAACGCGATACCTCTCCGTGAGCTCACGTGCTATCCACTATCCAACTGATATCCATGCTCTTCAACTTGTTAATTCACATGATACCTTACTAAGAAAAAGGAGTATACAAGAAGTAAAAGCATGAATATTGCAATTTGAGTTGTGGCTTCAGCTGAACTGGTTTCAACGCCGATTTGTGCTTCCCAGATCATTCCCGTTGACAAGTGGTTGCTGATAGGACCGATAGAATAAAAAAATAGGTGACGGAAAGGCAAAGCAAGAGCCTCGGTTAGTTTAGTGGAGAGCACGTGAGGCGCCAGGATGGTTAGTCACGAGTTCCAAGTCCAGCTGAGGTCCGGAGTTTTGCTCATAGCTCAGCATTCTTGTAGCTTTATAATTATTTTCGCTGTAGATGGAAAGTAGAGCAATTGAAACTGTGCATTACATGAAAAAGTACTATTGGTTTGAATACAAAGGTTAACAGCTCGATAACGTGGCATTAGAAACAATAGAAACAAACCAGTATCAAGATTTTCCAACTCCGAATTGATACTGTCACGGATCGCTTTTATATTCCTACTTTTCAGCATGAACGAATCCATCGAAATAGAGCTCGGAGGTTGACGAAACACCAACAGATTCGAACGTCTGAAAAGTTAGCACTTTAAAAATATCGATTCGTTTCTATGCGAAATTTCCAAAATAAGGAATTTTAGTGCAATTAATTCTTCCTTGAATAAAGCATATACTTTGGAACGCTAATGAGCACCTAGACGAATGCGTCTCTAAGAACAAGAACGAATAAGGTTATATTCGTAAGTGCACGGGCACAATTCAAAGGAGATTTTATACTATTCCATAGAATGAAGAAAAAGCAGCAAAATAGACTCTTTCAGAACCATTCTGCTTCATGCAGGAATTCAATGCACATTTACCTATCACTTGAATCACTGTTGTATGAAGTTTCGACTGAAGCAGCAGCCTCCCTTCGTTCAGTCTCTAAACAAACAGCAATAACTGATAATAATGATAGTAGCAGCAATCATAATATGGTGTGGTTCCTTTAAGTGAATCGTAAACAAGATCCTATGGTCGACGTTCTATGGAACTCGTCGTTGATCACTGAATTACTTTTTGCCAGTGACGAGTAGGTCCCCGGTTTATTAAATAATACATCTATTTTACAATAGGTTGCTGACGTTTTGGTTCATTTTATCGTCTCCTCCTGAAGATCATCTATAACCTTATCGCAAAGTCCTAAGTGTAAATTTCCAATCACATGGTAGACCTTTCTGCAAACGAGTTCAGTATTTTATTTTCTAACTTACTCGGCAAATTCAAAGTGAATTTGTTTCAGCAGAACTAACGAATGATGACAAATATGGCCGTTTCCGATTAATACAAACAAATTTGAGAGCTTAAGAAGCTAATGCACGCTTGAGAACGAAACCTTCGTTTGTTCGGCACATTTTGAGTTTTGGCGTTAAACCAAAGCAGCGTAGGATATCGGAACGAGTATACCTTACTATGTGGACAAGCCTTCTAGCAACTCGCCAAAAAATCAAGTTCAGGACCTTCAAGTGAACCTATGAATAATATTTGGCCAAATACTATTCATTGTGAGATTACCTCCGAGTTTGAAGAAGGTGATAAACGGTGAAACGTCAACCATTGTAATAAAGTGTAGCAAAGCAAGCAAGTATTAACAAGCTCTCGTTAGCCATGAATACAGCAACTCCATAAATGAGCGACTCGTTCCAACCTGAAGAGCTTAGGGAATCGCAGGTGGTTTCTCGTGCTTCTTGTGCTTCTACATGATGATGCCGTGGTAACGACGCTACTTGGGAATCGCTAGTTTCTGCAAGGATATTTGTTATTTGAAGGGATTTCACGAGTCTTTATTGGCCACTTCTTTGCGGATAGTCAAACCAGATGACCAGATGAGTTATTCATGTTATGGGATATCTTGCCGACCTTTACGAGGCGATAACTCTACTGATACGTCAGTGTCACGAGCGCTACACGTACTCGACATTTCGAAAGAATCTTCCGAGCATGACGTCGAACCGGAGCCGCCATCTGCGTCTGCTATTTGGCTACCTATTAAGGAATGAAACGAACAAAACATCTTGACATGGGCAGGTATAGTAAAACTCGTTTACCTTGATGGTTTTCCAGTGATGACAACGACTCAAGACTAGAAGAATTTGATTGCTGATTGTGTTCGTCGTCAATGGAACGCAATTGTAATAATTTCACTACGTCCATACTACCCGTATAATTATTGTTATGATTTGAATGTAGAATGTCGGCTAGCGTTTGTACCGTGGTTATCGTTTTCCTTGTCGATGGCACCGATGACATAGGTATGCTAAGCTCGAACTGTTTGCTACAAATTGACTCCATCGTGGAAACGCCACTATCGTCACGTGCATCTGAACTCGGCGACAACGACACCGTACACGATATCGACGATGACGATGACGGTGATGAAGTCGATCCCTCCTCCAATAAAGAATGCGTTAATTTTGCTGGCTGCTGAGCCAACATTCCCTCAGAACTTCATTGGCGATCAATGCGTAACACGTTGTGCTGGCCAAGGCGACCAAAGGATGTGGGCCTCGATCTGAAATGCGAAAATTGTGTTGAAAAACTCGACTAAAGAAGGTGTATTTGCTTAAAAAAAACGACAGATTATAGTTCAAACGACTTATTATGTTATGGACACCAAGCATATGCAATTTTCCAACGTATTAGCAAGAAATGCTGAAAAAATGAGGGTTATGAAAACTAGGAGACCAAGCGCTTCCTCAATCTGATAAGTACCGCTGTTGTTTTTGACCTTATACAAATTCTTCTTTCGTTTTGAAAATTATAGAAAAAGGAAATAAGTGAATGGGGATGGTACTTGAATGGTGGCTGTACGAACATCAATGCAGATACTTCTGAGATTGGAAGAACTGATGAAAAGATAGCAGAACAATGAACAAAATAAATACAGATGACGCAGTTATCACATTATTAACCCAAATTCAGTTAACTATCTAATATCGAACTATCAAAATATGTGGAGATACGATCACTTGCATGCAATGAAGCCTAAAGCCATGTTAACGTATTAGGAACCTTAAGGCACTCAAGTCGTTGGCGAGAGAAAACGATTTCATCCAGATTTAGAGATCCAGATAAAGAATGCAACTCACTTGAAGTTCCGATATCGACGATAGTAGAAGAATGAACGAAAAACGACAACTAAGAGCACAAACAAGCAAACTAAGATCGCTTTCTCCTTGCAATACGGTCGCGTTAAAATCGAACCCGCAAATAAAGACATTCCAGTTCGTGGTTACTCCATATTCTTCCCTTCTCACTGATTCGCAGCTAGTTAAATGATGCCTTTTTATTGAAATATCACCAAATGAGAGCATATTCTGAAGTAAAATCTTTAGGAATGAACAGAGGAAGTTTAATGGTAAGCGATCAGCAATTCTATGCATTTTCCTCTGTTCAAATGAACACGGAACTGAATCTTTTGAACTGCATTTTTACAATGCCCGAAAACGTTTATGATCGTCATGAAGTGAATAAAGGAAAAAGAAGAATGATGATCGATGATGAATAGCATATAAACAGAGTGATTCATTCTTAGGATGGTCAGATTGCGCTATTCGAAGCAAATATGCTCCAACTTATTTCTCTTCTTATACATGTATACGCATATACATACAAATATATAAAGATGCATGTATACATAACATATATACATATATATACACATATATACATATATATACACATATATACATATACATATATAAATATGTATAAAACAGTAGGAGTCAAAAGATGTTCTTCGTTATCCCCACTAATGGACGCGACGAGACGCGAAATTGATTACGGCTAGTTCCATTACTTTTTATACAAGGAAAAACTCACACTAATTATGAATGCTTTCTTACTTCTGTGTATTTATGTGTGTTGGCTACACTGTGGATAACATCATTTTCTCACTATTTTGTTGTGAGAGCATCGTGGATGACACGACGAAAACAAAGACAAATTAAAGTCGCAAGTACAAGCGCACTGAGCGCTAATGACGATTTTACCCAATCAGGAACGATATTAGACGTTGAGTGTACGAATAACACTATGCACTTTCGTCCGACGCGCTCGATTGACATTTAGTGTCGACGTAAAAATCCTACGTGAAACACTTGATGGCTACATGGATAACAACTACGTTATAGGATCGCTCATTAACATTCCGCACTCATAGTATTCCATTAATCCGGAAAAAAAGATGCTATCAATACGTCGCCAATAGATGAGTACGGATTGAAGTGTTGCTGGAATAGGTGGCAACGCCGCGCTAATCCGAACCTCTTCAGGCCACGCCCACGCCCGTAATTTTATATTTATTGAAAACTCACGTCGCTCGCTGTTTAGCCTACCATATGTGTATGGTCCCTCACCAATGAGAAAACGTAGACACCTAATCGACTTGTGAACTAATGAAGGAAAGAAGGAAAACATTTCCAACGATCCTGAATGTTTTTCACATGTTCAAAAAACCAATACTAAATTAAGCGTCACGATAAGAATTATCGTCGTAATGTAGTTATTACTGGATTTTGGAAAAAAAATCGTAGAAGCAGAAAGAGAGGACCATCCTGGACATCTATAATTAGCATGCTACGTCAATCTCGTGGTCACAATAAGAAACAATCGATAGTGAAAACAAGGAAGCACCATGTAAGAAATTCAGAATGGAAGAAAATAGTAGTAGGTTGAATGGAAGGAGGTGACAAGGTGATTAGAGTGGTCGAGATGCTCGTTGATCGTGTTGTCGAGCCAATGTGAGTTCGGTGGCAGTGCGGAGGAGACGAGAGCCGTCAGTGTCCGTCAGTCTCGCCGGTGTCACTGCTAATAACACAAGTGCTTGCGGGCGGAGCCGATTTCTTCTCTTCGGCAACCATCAGCAACAACGCCATCAAGCCGTAGCCTCATGGCATAAATCCCAGTACTTTACTACTTCGAAAGGAAAGCAGTGCATACATTTCATTATCGACGACCTGTTGCTAACATGACACGAGAAATGGCATTGTCCATGGATGCAGAAAATCCGAGGTGTAATGATGTCAAAGTGGCGACGAGCTGACGATATCTGCCCTTCAAAAGTGCTAGCAAAGAGAACATCAAGCAAATTTATACTGATCCTTCCAGTTTTAGTAATAACTCTCAAAACAAATGAGCTAAGTGGACGCGTTAACTTAAGAAGAACGAACCATGAACGATAATATCGAATTTGGCCATTCCATTCGATTTTCGAGCAGTCAAGCGTTCGACCATCTAATAATGCAGCTGCGCACCTGAAGTGTTAGTGAAACAAATGAGAATTACTCTCAAAATATTGAATAAACAAAATTTTTCCTTCGTTCTGTAGATGACTGACAATCTAGACGTTCAGGAATAGCAAATTATCCGTACAGGTTGAATGGGCCGTACACGGGCCTTTCAAATGCGACTAGTATGACAAGTGCTTCCTACAGCTGTTTTATCTCCGAGAGTTCCTAACACTGTAGTCGGAACGTAATTTTAAAACATTTTAACATACAGTTGAGAAATGATTTGATAATGTAAGTTGCAACTCTGATCAAATCTTTCTCAGATTCCGAAAAAGTGAAAATGGCACTCATTGCTAAATGTTTCTCGGATCCTAACTTCGTAGAAGCTCATCCAAAATGTAGGAAGAAATTGAACAATCACTGCCGAAGTTAATAAGAAATCGATCACGAGAAGTTCTGCAGGAGATTCTCCGATTGGAGGAAAAAACGAAACTCGTCGACATTATGTCAATGAGTGCCTACGACTCCGGCCGTGTGGATGATCTAACTGGACTAATACTAGCATGAATAGATAGCTAGATATGACAGAAGAAGAACAGTAGGAAAAATTTAGAACTAGTCGAAGGATTTTTTATAAGCTATAGAAAATAAGGATCGAATGCACAACGGCATGGAAGAACGATAGAAACGCTGAAAGGCAGCGGAGCTCTTGTGCGCCCAATGACCGTCATTATTTCATATTAGCAATATATCGTCGACATTACGTCGAAAACACTCATCAACACCAAAGTAAAAAACGCTTTGTTAAAAACTGCCTAACTTCACTAATAAACATAAGCGAAGCGTTTCAGATGTGCTGCTTTAGGCATAATTCTAGTACTAATCCAAAACATACGAACTGTGGATAGCCAGCATAATTCATGGGTGCACATCTGAAGCACTGTGCAAAAAGGAAAACCACTGAGAAATGGGCTGTGATATTGAAAACCGACCACCACAGCCCACATCTCAGTTGTTTGCTTTCACCATTGCAACTGAGATATTCGTTCACTGTTTAACCTTTGGGTTATCTCGTCCAGAATGTTTCTTCCTCACGTGCGCGAATTCTCACGTCGTCATTAGTCGAAAGGATAGAATTCAAAAGAATCGAAATACCTAAGACGCCTACTGCGTCATGTGATGTAATGTAATGTGTAATTGGTATCAATGTTTGTCTAATGCCACAAAAAAAAAAGATTCCCGAAGATCTGATTTTCGAACGCGCATATCGAAATTCTGATTTCTTCTAGGCTTTGAGTTGATAACAAGGCAAAATGAATGGAAATATGATTTAGCGTAATAAAACAAACTACTCAAAAAAAAATATACAACAGACGAAAACTTGATGGTAGATTCTCGATAATCAACAAGTAAGCTCTACGTGGTAGGCGGAGCGAGGCGGCCCACTAATTAATATCACACAACGCACACACACGCAACACATACACAGACACAGACACACACACACACACACACACACGCACACACACACGCACACATATACACCACCAAGGGTCACGGCAAACTCAATATTCACTCCTGTCGATCGATACCATAGTAAAACACACATTTACGAATTCCGAGAAATGATTGGTTAACTAGTGAACAATCATTGTCAATATTACGTAACTTATTGATTAGTCGAGATCCATAATGAAAAATAAAGGATATGTAGGCTAAAATCGAAAGGGAAAAACTGAGTTGTTGTCCTGTTGTGCAGTCAATGACAAATAACTTTTGCAGATACCATCGCTATGTGGAGATGTGTGAAGAATCGTCTATCCCCTTGTTATTCAGACACCGAGGTCAGTCAGCATTCAGGGAAATTTCTGCCTTGTCATGAAATTCTGGACAGGAGAATGAGAAAATTTCCCCAAAAATGTACACCCTTGTCAACATTACATGTTATACATGAATATAACCTTAGAAAAGACTAGCATTTTGACAAAGCAAACGATCAAATTCCCGTTAACAAAGATGGATAAATATGGAAATGCCCTGAAAAATATTAAAAGGAAGACAAAGAAATCCCAACACCACAGAAGGAAATGTTTTCTATGGAAAATCTGGTTTGTAGTTAACTTGTGTCAACATCTGTTCCAAACAGCGTCGGAACACACTAAAATAAAAATCGAACGCATTATTCGGGGAAACTCGTCCGCGTTTGCATAGCTTGCACGCTTGTCGCGCATAGGCCAGCCTGAAATGATGAACGCGTATGTTTTTCATAGGGTTTGTGATGACCATTGGGAAATAACGTCGACGATGTTTATGAAATATGATAAGGTGTGAAGTACTTCGAAGACCTTTAGAATACGAAGCTCTTATCCATTTATTGCCCAATCATTCGCAATCAAATCTAGATTTCGCGATTTCAATTGGGCAGTACTGCCTTGAAAAGTAGAAAAGAAAGATTGTTTGACTTTTCATGTTTGATTGCTTTCTGGCGTGAGATTAGGACCACCAAGTCGAAGACGTTGGAAAAAGTTTAGTGCAAAGTGTATATATTTACTACTAACTTGATTACGTAGCTTAGTACATTTGTCCTAAATTGTTAGATTTGGCACTTGACACTGAAATGGCCTCCACTTGACGGGCATATTGGTTCAGCAATATATATATTTTTTCTCTTGAAATCCCGTGACAGCAGCTCTATAGTGCTCTCAAGTAGATGCGGCGGGCAGTCATCGTCGGTCGATTTGGATTGGAGAGGCGTTTGACACTTTTCAACTAGGTTTCCTTGAAAACCTAGAAGATTCAAAGCATTGAATCGAATGAAAATGTCGTCAAAAGTCACTACCACGAACGGTTTGTTGGTTATCACGATGGAGCTAGTATATATGGTTATCTGTCCTCCTCATTTACTCGAAAAAAAGTTACTATTTCGCAAATTCACAGATCTGTTTAATGGAGTAAACCCAGCCAGTTAGACGCGAGGCTAGGTAGCTGATATGGGATTAAACAGGGACCGAAAACGGCCCAATGCTTCTCTAGACGTAAGTTGCTTCTAGAGGTTAACTCCTTGTTTCTGCTGAGCTGATTTGGCGCATACCTTCTAGGCTTACATAGAAATACTCACCCATACTTTCATCGGCATATTTTGATTTATGTGGGTTGTATTCAACGAGTCACTTCGAGCAAAGGCTTGCAATCAGCTCACTGGGAAGTACACGGGAAGCCGCTAGGAGTTGTCTCTTAAGCTCTTTGCCTACTCTATATGACTTGCAAGGCACCTGTGAATATCTCCTTTTCCACATTCAGAGCTCAGAAAACCATACGTGAGTGAAGGATAAAGGATAAAACTCTCGGCGGTTTGGAGGTGATTGAATGCACATCTGGCCTTCACAATGGATCGCAGTGGCGTACGGGTGTATCGAGCCAGTGCTGCTATCCTCCCAGACAAATCTGGCACCAATTCATTAACTCCAGTAGGATGGAAGGCTTAGTGGGCCATGGGCACGACGTTCGATTCCACGTGTGTGTTGCAGGGCGCCTCCGACCACTGCGCCACACGTGCCCTATAAGTGAGTAGAACATGCTAAGTGCAGTAAAATAAGTATGCCTAATATAACAAAGCTCGATAACAATTTTTCCTTAGCCTCGGCATTGGTCAATAATTCACTGTTTTTCTTGATGAGCAAACACGATGTTGTTATTCCAGCATTCGTTAACACAACACTCACGTTTCGGCATTTTCGCCTCCTTCAGAGCATGGAATCATCAAATTGACGCGCAATCCGCTGAGCCAGAAATTATCATAACTTCTGCAGTCAAAACATCATGCATGTAAAATCTTTGTGATACCAGAGAAGAACTGTTCTTCCGAACATGGGACAGTAGAGAAGTCGGAAGTGTCGACGTTCTGGTCAACAGAACGCTTGACCATAAAAACCGATTCATTCGAGCAAGTTACAGTCTGAATCGGAATTTCACGATTTAAAAGACGTAGATTAATGCCAACTTTGACAGCCTTCATCTTCTAGGCACCGACATTAAACTATGATGAAGAAGAAGTCGAAGCGTTCAATATGGACTTAGAGGAGTTCTACAGAGAAGATCACACATTCTTCAAGGTCATCATTGGAGATTTTAACACCAAGAGTGGACCAAGAAGAACGTCTAAAAAACTTCACATTGGAATCCATGGATTAGAATGGAACAAACAGGGTGAGCGGCCTCCCACATTTGTCATGACGACCAGAGCATTCATGGTAAATCGCAATTCCGGATGCCCCAAATTCCATGATGGACGACGTGAGAGCTTCCCAACGCAGACTCCCATCACAACAGAGACCGCATAACAGCAAATCGATGGCTTTTTCTAAACTGTGTCGCTGTTACCTCTATATTCTACAAAGGATCAGAGCAGTGCCTCCTTCATGGACGATTTCATTTGTTGCGGCATGAAAAAGAAACAGCTAAATTCAGAAAGGAAAGTTCTAAAACCACAATAAACTGAGATATATTAAATTCATTAATCTGCTGTTGGGAAAATGCCGTTCCCGATAATATCGAAGAGGAAAACGATCGGCTCATTCAACATCTTCATGTTACTGCTATGAAAGCTAAGAGTTCGAAATTCACCAAGAGACGTCTGGAGCCAGAAACACTTGAGGTGTTCCGCCAGCGTGGGACCGCGCTAGCTACGGGCAGCCAACAGCTCACGTGCGGACTTTCGAAACTGTGCAGACTGACCATAAAAGAAGATCTTAAAAAGAGGGCATCAGCAGTTATAAGTGAAAGCTGTAGAGGAAGAGAAAAGCATTTGAAATGCTCATTAAGGCTTCGCCGATTACAAAGCCAAAGCTGTTGCAATAGGACGACCAGACTGGACAGTTACAGCTTCCACAAAGGCAATTGAGAAAAACACTCACAACTACTACCCGGTTCTCTTCATTAGTCACGTCCTTTTGCCCACATACGAAGTAAAAGAGGATGGATATGTGGTCACACCAGTTCTCTCGCCCGACATGTGCCATGCTACTTTGTCGATGAAACATCGAACAACACCATGTCAGGACAACAGGATAAGATCTGAATACCTGTAGAACTTTTCGCTATTTCTCATTTTCACATTGACTCGTCACGTTAGCTGTCAGAGTACAAGGTTCCTACCCATGCAAGAACAAAAAGACCGTGTTTGCGTCCAAGAAAGGGGGTCTCCACGATATCGGCAACTATCACCCAATCTGCTTCCTGTCTGTCATACATAAACTCTTCACTCCAGTCGTTCTGAACGGCTTGAGAGAACATTGGACGAATGGCAGCCGTTTGGGTAACCACGACTTCGAAATGGATTCACTACGATGGACCACATCCACACAACAGCAGTACTCACTGAGGTGTAGCGAGAGTATAAGAGACCGCTCTGTTTCGCTTTCATTGATTTAAGGAAGGCTTTTGACTCAATATCAAGATTTTATTTGTTGCCTTATAGTATTTTTTGACTGGTGATTGTTAATAGCATTGGTAGACAGAAAACTAGCTGAGAGGCAAAAGAAACGAAGGGCCTGTATGGTGTGGTTGTGAATGCGTTAGTGCGCGGAAAGAGTAGCAACTTGTTCATTCCAAGCTGCAGACACCTACGGTCTAGAGTTTTACAAATATCTCGGCTTCATTATTATTGCCTTGGTTCAGTTGGTATAAGAGCAGCAATCAAAGCCCTGGAAAGCCAGGGCTCCCTACTCGGTACATAAAGGTTTTTCGTAGTCTATATGAAAATTTCACGAATAAAACTTCGCCATACTATACCGATATTAACATTTTCCTCAAAAGAGGGGTTAGTCAAGGTGATTTGTCCTACCCGAAGTTATTTAGCGCCACTATCGAGAATGTCATGCAAACATTGGAACAGGACAGCAGCGGAGTAAAAAGTTATGGTCGGCAATCACTCCTCTCCGCTTTGCTGACCACATCATTCTTATAGCACCAAACATTAAGCAGCAAGACGAATGGTTTCCGACTTTGATGAAACCTGTGGAAAGATTGGTGCTCGACTATACCTCACGAAAACGATGGTCATAGAGGAAGGATTGCTCACCTATGCCTCATTCACGCTCAACGGAACGAATATCTCCGAATGTTCCAGTTACGCCTTTCTAGCTCGGGCAATTAACGTGATGAACAGCTTAACTCCAGAGTTGAGTAGGAGGAAGCGAACGGCTTGGGGAGCTTTTAAGAGCATCGAGGATATATTGAAGAAAACAAAGAACACCCGATTCCGTCCCCATCTTTTCGACTTAACAACACTTCCTGCCTTAACATATGCGCCAGAAAACTGGCCGCTATGTAAGCGGGATAAAAGGTCACCCAGCATTATAGAAGGCGCATGTAAAGGTCGATATTGGGAGAAACCCGTTCACGCAAGTGAGGAAAGAGATCCGAGTGAGGGAAGCCCCGACCTGTGCCAACCTTCACAAATTAGAAACGCCTTTCTACACGCGAAAATGTCGAAAATCAAGTGGGCCGGACACCAGTGCGTCTCAACGACAACCGATGGAATAGAGCCGTTAGCGATTGAATTCTTCAAGATGTCAAAGGCGCGTCATTCAGACTGCAGAGCCAATAAACACAGCTCGTAACAAAAGCTCTGGGAAAAAGATGTCATCTTCAACAAATCCCTAGATTGAGCAGAGCCTATTGGTCTGCTTTATCACGTGACATGGAGAATTCCCAAGAACGAATTTCTGTTAACGTCGGCACTCTTCAAGCACTTTGTAGTATTCTCTTTGAGCAAACACAACGATGTTACTTTATCCTTTGTCGACGGAAAAACTGACGTTTTGGCAGATTTCGCCTTCTTTAGAGCCGGAAAAGGTTAAGTTGACTCCAATCTACTCAGCCAAACACTTCCTTAACAAAAAAAAATACTAAACAAAGATTCTAATCTTATTGGAAGTAAAACACCTTTACCGCACACTCACCACTTTCTATAAGACCTTCACTGAGTATTTCACATAAAGACCAACCGCACAGAGCTCACGTAGAAGCGTAATATGCTTTTCTTACATTGAAATATCAGTCTTAAATATTCTGTGAGATTACGCGTGATGACCACGCTTTCCTAGATGCGGTTTATCTCTTGGAATTTACCAAGAGTACTTTGAGAGATTTGTGCGTTGAAGTTTTAATTCCTAGCGGAATATGATAGTTTCTGCTTGAAAATCTTTTCCGTAATATCTCTGAGTCTTATGTATGGTTAGTGGAGTGTTAAGAGCGCTATACATTGACGATAACATAGGCGGTCACGAACTAGCTGACGCCCGAAAGTGCTCAAGGGTATTTCAATCAGTGTTACCGAATTCTCTGCGCGGGTCTTGCTGAAGCAACGCTTTATAGCTGCACCTACTTTTTTGAAATTAAGGGCTAGCTGTTTGCATCAGGAATTCAATAATTCCTCCTGCTCGTGTCGCTGTGCTCACACTGGTGCTTGCACGAAACATGTTTCTCACAAGCGCCACTTTTTGTATGTGAGGAGTAGGACAAGAAGTAGTGAGCCAGCATGTTTTTATTACTTGGCTTTTAGTACCAGTTAGTGAAGTATCCGTATCCAAATAGGTTAATTTCATCACTCAGAAATGGAATTCAGTTTTATTTCGGTTTCTTCTAGCTAAATTTATCGTACTCTGAATGTTCATTCGACAAATCAATATATTTGTTCACATTCTTTTATGTGGAGCAGATTACCAAACAGTCACTTATAAATCTACGGTAGAGTAACGACTGGATATCGACTACTCGGGTTTCCACCTTAGACATAAAGGCAATGGCAAAGATTGGTGCCAGTTGGTGCCCCATTGCCAAAGCTCCACTTCATGCGTAACATTTTTCAAACAATCTAAAAATTGAGTAGCTTAAGGAACTTTTTCAAAATGGGTCATGAGCTGGTAAATCGAGAAGCCACACGTGTTTTGGCTCCTTCCAGTAGCACAAAAAACTCGTAGATCGCTTGCCTTTCAGAGTCATTAGACAGCTTTACATATATAGCGGTAACGTCGAAGGATTCCATCACGGTGGTGGAAGGTGGAGGAAAAGGTGGATGGTTTAAAAACCATTAGCTATCTCTCGGCTCAAAGCTGAATTACCAAAATGTTTCGTCCAATACTTACTTGTCAAAACTCACATGTTATTATCCAATGACGATCTTGCGTCTGACGATCCTTCATGCTTCAAGGTTGGACCTACCATCAGCTGTGCAGAGAGGTCCATGGATAGACCACCATAGATTTAACCCTAGTGTTTACCCTATTGTTAAAGCACATTCCAACCCATTTCAAGAATACTCAGTTGTTTCTGGATGGTCTATACCATTAGGGTCCTAATAGCGCATATGTGACCCTGTTCTTCGACATACGGCCCTTAATACTAAAGTGTCGAATACGTCCGCAATGCAAGCCATCCGTGAGCTTCTTAAGCAGCATGAAGGAGTAATTAACGTATTATAGGCTTCTAGGCTCAGCAGCACATAGACCCTGAACCCCATAAAGCTTTGCCTAAGCTGCGCGGCCTTCACATGATCCAGGAAATATTATGCACAAATTAAAAAGTTAGCAAAGGCAGCTTGAAACATTGCTTGGGAAGTGCTCATCTAGTGAATTTGGTAACAGTGGTTCAAATAACACTCATGGGCGCCAGTTACTTCGCAACCTCCTAAATGTTTGTCTATCCAATAATAACGATAAAGAATGAAGTTTTCGACGTTGATCAATCCATGAGGGATGCGCCATGCATTCCACTGCATTAGGCAGCGTTTGGAGGTGATTGAATGCATATCGGTCTTTTACAATGACTCGTAGTGGGCAGTCGCTGTATAGAGTTGGTGCTGTTACAGTGGTGAGTGTGCGATAGAGCTATTTTTTTTCCAGTGTGATTGGAATCATTGCTTAGTATTTTTTCTTAGTATTAGGTTACAGAGGTGTTTTGCTGAGTAAGGCAGTCAATTTGGCCTTCCCTGGACTTAAGAGGGTAAAATCACGAAGAGGACAGCTAAACCGTCAATAAAAGTTAAAGTAACCCTTTAGAGAAATTTCGTAGGTAAATTCATTTCTATTTCCAATCAATTTCTTCGCTAAAACCTCAAGATAACAATATCGACGTTTTCTATCAGTTGACTCACTGAGGATGAAAAGGAAACGTAAAAAACCAGTTCTGGTACTCTTACTTGATACTTGAACGGCCCGTTCTCACTAGTTGTGCAGACCACAGCATAATCATCATTTTTCAAAGATTTGCTGGCTAAGCTATTGTGGTCCCCTGGAATCCTGAGGGCAGCCTGGCCAAAGTCTGCCTCAGGTCGCCATCACGACAGGCAGTCGCAGCCCTTGTGGATCAGAGGGAAATTTGCCACCATGCGAATTTGATACCAGGACGGTGGTGGATCCTGCTATTGGTCTACTCTTAGCTAGGCTTCTTGTTGGAAACGCTGGACTCCTTCTCAGCTTGGGAGACTCTGCCGATGGGTCGAATCTCCCTCTGTACATCGCAGTTTGACACCCAGGAACACCTCCCAGCCATGATGAGGCGGTAAGCCGTTGGGAGGGTTCTGGTACTCAGGACTACAAAGTGTGGTACACGTGTTAGTGTGGCATCGTTTTCTCTTTGAGTAGATTCGACTTTATTAGAAAAAACCTTTGTAAAACACTGGACAACGTTTCAGCAGTTTCATTCACCTGGATCCTGGAAAGGACAAACTTATGCGCAATCTACTCAGTCAAACATCTTCACAACGTCAGCAGAAAAACACAGTCTCGAAAACTTATCTCTATAAAACTCGTTCCGTGGAGCCTATTCAGAAATGAACCACTGGGAAGAGTGCCTTGTGGTCAAGCATGACCTCGCGCCATGCCTTGTACTAATTACCCCAGAATCGGGTAATCGCAGGTTTGAGACCCATCCCAGATTCCGGATTTTGCTTGTGTCACAGCATCCTTTTTGTTGTGTTTCGCATTATACGCTGTGATAAGCAAAGAACACACAGTAAACAAAATGTGAAATAGTGGTACCCAAAGAATTTTTTTCACATTTTTTTTATGGTCGTCAGTAATCAACGAAGATTCCGTTGCACTTCTCTCCACTCCGTCTAACTCGAGAGTACTTCTTGTGTATGTCGAAAAAATCAAAAATGAATTAGTAATAATTCGACGGCACCAAAAGTTATTTTAGCGGCTAGAACTTTATTTCGTAAAAGAACAAACCAACAGAGAACTAACAGTGCTGGAGGAAAACCTTGAAAAGCTTTTCGTCCAAGGGAATAACACAGTCCTTTTTCTTACTGTTGATGTGGAAACTATTATCGCTCGTGGTTGATTGATAAGCCTGTCAGACGATATTCTTACAGTAGCCACAGTTATATCAAATATGCACACGAAAATATAAAAAATAACCAAAACGAAGAGCTTCTAAACATCGCTGAAGTGGCCCAAACGAATCTTGTCCTTTTCGGAAACAACTGGCTATCAATTGAATACTTTTATCGCAAAAGACAAGAAGATACACGATGACAATAAAGAAAACATCGCGGTATTAATCTCAAAGTGTAATGCGATTTTTAAGACGGGTTATGAGCAAGCTACTTTGCTACAACATGAAATGCGGTGGCAAATAACCGGATCTTGTTTGTTGATGGATAGACAGAGACCTAGACTGCTTTCTACAATTGTCACATCTTGTACACTAGATTTTTGTGTTTTGGGAAATGTTGCCAATGGTAATATTTACTTTAGAACGCTAAAGTTTTGGGTAAATTTAACATCTTTAACCCATTTGATCAAGGAAGATATGGAGCCAGCTTACGAATGACGATGCGGTATTCCACTCTTCGATTAGCTTCGAAAGCTGGTTTCAGTCCAAAACCTTTCTACTGCTTTATAGACTGAAGGTGTTGGGTCCTGAGGTTTCCAACAGATGCAACGCCATGACATTCACCGTTTTCTAGGTAGGTATGAAACAAACAGCAACAGAAAAAAATTATTTGCTGCTTTCACGAAGACGGCAGTGTTGTTAAAGCATTACAGAAGATGATAAGTTTCTTCAAAATTAACACGCGACTTGAAAATGACTAAGCCATCGTGCAGCGAAGCGCTGTTGTAGAAGGATAGAATGCCTTTGACGGTGAGCACTAGGTATTTAGCATCAGCAACTTGACTAAAGTCTGAAACAAAACTGTAAACAGTTGAGCAACCGAGGAGAACCAATGCATGCAAACCGATAGCAGTTATTAATGAATATCGTCGAAGTATTCTTTCTTTGATGAGCTTACACGAGGTTGATAATGATGTTAATTTTCGGCTAACGTTTCGACGTCTTCGTCTTTCTCAGAGCCGATGATCCGAGTCGATGGTCCTCGCTTGTTATTCGTCTCGACGTCGACACGATACTGATGGTCGATATAATGATAATGTCTGGTGATAACAACTTGTATAAAGTATAAAAGGGCACCACTGAGTAAGGATGCCTCATTCGAGGAGATGGCTCACTGAAGAAGACCTGACTCGACACGAAGCCGAAGCTGCCACGTCGAGACGAATAACAAGCGAGGACCATCGACTCGGATCATCGGCTCTGAGAAAGACGAAGACGTCGA